TTTGTATTAATTTACAACTTTTTACAGCTGCCAAAATTTTACCTAATTTTTATTCCTATCGAGTGGTCTTGTAAGAGATTTATATCATATATAACATATTATCACGCTCTAATATTCCAATATGTTTGGCCCTTACTTGTCCCTTACTTACGTACATAGAGAGAATATTATATCTTTCTTATATTTTTTTCAATTTTGTTGTATTTCCAATAATGCAGAAATAGACTGTCAGTAAAATTTATTTTGCCAAGAAGCATAGCAAAACGCTAGAAACAGCAAATATTTTAGTAGCATATTTTATTTCACAAAACATAAATAACATATGTGAAATGAAAGAATAGTCAATTCATTTCTCTATTTACAAGACACACTGTATAATAATTTTTATTTTAAAATAATTATATAATATATAATTATATAATAATTATATAAATATATAATAGTTCTATGAGTATACATAATTATATAAGTATATAATAATTTGTATTATAATTTTATATAAATTTTTCATTGTCTCCCTCAGAGCATGAATCACAAAGCCTCCTTACATCTTTTTTCTAATTTCTAATTTTCAAACCCCAACACTAATCTGATACGAGATTCACCTGTATGATTCTATATAGAACAGAATCTTTCAGATAAGATGTAGTTAGGGACGAATCTTTATTTCCGCGAGTGTATATTTTTAACAAACCGCCAAGACCATTTTAGTCAAGTCGAGCAATACGTACTCGCAAAATTCACGCCATCTCCTCGCGGTCTCCCAGTCAGTGAAGAAGTCGAGTCGGATACGGTCGTCTCGAGGAGATTGGCCCTATGCAAATTTTCGGGGCCCCTCGTGTCACGATACCTATCCGATCGCAGCCAAAACCGGTGGGAGTCAGGAGTGAGCATTAAGTGACGCGCGCGAGGAGACACGGCTTCTCTTGTATCAGCCTTTAGGGCTTCCGATCGGTCTGACACGTACGTGATGCCATGTACACGCGTCCGATATGCTCCGAAACGGTAATACAACTCTGCCCGACGAGTTCAACGCGATGGATGTATCATTTATATTTATTGCGGCGCGTGTTGCGAATCCCTGTAAATTTTCCGTGGAATTTACCTTCTTTCCAATCTATATCAATCTACCCGAATGATTTGGGAATTCGCTTTACGAGAGCTGCGCCTGCGGGAAGACCGATGAAATGTAAATCTTGATTAATTAATCAACAAGTCCGCGTTGCGGAATTTCGCGGCGCGAAGTGCGAGCGCAATCCGCACGATTCACGCTCGCGTGCGAGAGATCGCGCTTTCGAGCGCAATTTCGCGCGAATGTGATGTACATTTCGCCGGTCGCGGTTAATAATAGCGCCGACGTTTACCGGAAAGTATGCAACGTCGTATTTACTTATTGCGGGATAAAATTGGAGGCAGAGAGAGAGAGAGAGAGAGAGAGAGAGAGAGAGAGAGAGAGAGAGAGAGAGAGAGAG